CCTCCCACGACTATCGTTATATTTATTCACTCGCTTCTCCAGAGACGTGAAGATGGATCTAATTCAAACAGTTAAATAAATATGCGAAACAAAACGACCTTTACTCTCCACATAATAAAAAACGTTTTACTTCAGCCAACGTTTCGCCGTTGCGGCTTCATCAGTTAAACGAAGTGCTTTACAACAACCTTTAGTATAACACTTTTTTGTTTGAATATATATCAATATTGCAGGATTCAACATCTGTCATTGTATTATAATATTATTAATTATTATTATTATAATAATATTATTATTATTGTATTATAATATTATTATTATTATTGTATTATTATAGTTGGCTACAGAATTTTTCTTTTTTTTTTTTTACAATCAAACAAAAGTTTCACTAAACAAGGTTCATTCATATATTTTGTTTCTTTGTTTGTTAAATTTCGTGCAAAGTTATCTGAGGGTTATTTGGGCTAACAATCCCTAATTTTGAAGTAATATATTAGAGGCAAAGGCAACTTGTTAACATCACCCATCGTCAACTCTTCGGTTATTTTTTACCAGCGAATAATGGGATTGACCGTCATATTATAACGCCCCCATGGCTGAAAGGGCAAGCATGTTCGGTGGTAGAATTTGAACTCTCATCCCACAGATGAGTCGAGTGCCCTAGCCACTAGACTATGCCAGGTTTTTATTCAAACAATAACTACAAGTTTATCAAATTCAATAAATCAATCTGTTTAGTGAACTGTTAGAAGCTCTTCGTGTGGAATATTTAGTATAGAATGACAGTGATTTTTTTTCTAACACGTATTCATTTTAGACGAGTGAGCATCACTTGCTTTTACAATAAATTGACGGCACCCTGTAAGCGTCGTATTATCAGATACGACATGGAGTTCGCCTCTGTGTAAGGTGGCGCTTTCGGATGTAGATGACGTAGATTTATCAAATCCTGTTCTAGTGCCAAGTCAACAACAAGACTATGAAATCCAAACCTGTTCCCTTTTGATTTCAAACCAGTTTCTGACAAATGACTAGATCCTTAATATATTTATCCAAAAATGCATTTTTCTACGTACTAAATCCTAAGTGCTAGGTCGAGTGTGGGCTATTGGTTAGTGTGCCGGGCTGCAGGACCAAAGGTCTCACGTTCGAGACGCGATATGCTGCCGAACACACTCCATACTTTCTGTATTATAACTGTTAAAGTCAATCCCGCTATTGTTAAGAGCTATGTCTGAAACTTAACGTTTCTGACCTGGTCGTTTAGTCCTTGTGTCACATAAGATACTTTCAGGCATACCCAAGTGTCATAGTGCGTTTTGTTTCCTTTCAACAGCATTCACGATGTCGATATAGAAAAACCTTATTTCAGAATAAGCTACAATGCAAAGTCAAGACAATGTCCTCAACATAATCAAGTGTCTCATCTTCCGTCTTCTTCTATGACACATACTTATACTCTATAAATGATAGTTTTCAAAAGAACGTGTTTATGGAAATAAATAACATGGGTTTAGAATTGTACGTCTTCTACCAACTCTTCATAAGCAACAAATTAGGCTTATGAACAATAATGAAACTACAAGATAAGATTATTTACCTGTGTGTATAGTCACTAGTTACTTAATTCAAAATGTCAAAGTTATTTTTTGCTTCTCTTTTATATTTAGTTGACATATTTCCTTAGATTTAAACCTGTACGATGAGGATGAAACAAGTTTTATAAAGTAAAGGTCTTGTCGTCCGGAGGTGGGTAAAAGCCTATCAAACCAGTTGTTTTTATTCATTACCTTGGTGAGCATTGTACTTACATCTAATGTTAAATACAATGAAGTATTTGTTAATGAATGTTCTCAACTCCTTCGACAGAACAGGACGAAAATAAATACTGAAAAGACAAGTCTTAAATTTAACAGATAATACCTATAGCACTTGTTTGGTTGTTTGTTGGTTGGTACATTATATGGCAAATCGGGAATATAACTGATAAAACCTATAGCATTTGTTTGTTTACTTCTTGGTTGGTACATTATATGTCGAGTCTGAAATTTAACAGATAAAACCTACAGCACTTGTTTGTTGGTTGGTTGATACATTATATGACAAGTCAGGAATATAACAGATAAAACCTATAGCACTTATTTGTTTGTTAATTGGTTGGTACATTATATGGCAAGTCGGGATATTGACAGCTAAATCCTATGGTACTTGTTTGTTGTTGTTTTTTTGTTGGTTGGTTGGTACACTATACGGAACTCAAAATTCTTTGTTGCCCCATCTGCACCATATTAAAACTAAAACTTTAAAAGAGACCAATTTCATTTTAAATACAGTAGCATATCATTTTCAAAAAAGCTAATCATTATAGCCCATTTATATTACAACTATTTACACATATAATTTTCGAGAAAGAAAGTTACTGAGGAAATATTTTGTTGAGAAATCATTCAGATTCCAAAGTAAAGGTTGACAGTGGGAGATTCAGGTATATAATGGCACATTGCAAGAACTGGACGAGGGTATTGAATATCTAAACGTTTCCTTCTGTAGACTGTTAAAATGTTAAGTTATTCTTAACATAATAATTAACAGTGAGCTACATCTAAAGTTGACGTTAACATAAAACCAAATATAAAGGTGCACAAAGTGGTATAATCGTAATCAATGTCCCATTTTCATGAATACAATAATTTCCGTGTTACCAGCAGGTACACAGTCTTATCAGTGAATAAAAAGAGATAATGTTAAAAAACTGAAATTCCTTACTCAATAGCAAACAACCAACGTGCAAAGCAAACAGTTTTAGTGAACTGATTGCATGATGTCTGTGGTCTTGACATCGAAGTTTAGACCTTTTATGCTGATGCAAGTATACTTATTGCCT